CTTGGCACCTCTGGGCCAGCCCACCATAGCCCCAGGGACCTTCCCCAGCTTTGCTGTGACCTGCATGGGAAAAGTGGGAGGTAGGCACAAGACCCCCCACTCACTCGGCCAAAGATGGGAGTGGGACCCGGCGCAGAGCAGGTGGCCAGGGCCACACCTCAGACTCCCCTTTCCCTTACTAAGTGGCCAACCATGGCTGGGAACAGAGGCTCGGGGAACTCAAGGCCTGGCCTACAGTGGGATGGTAGGCTGGGGCAGGAGGCCCAGGCTCACCAGGGTGGTCCTCACAGCCCCTGATCTGAAGCTACCCCTCTCATGGTGGGGCCACTGCCCAGCCCACCCAGGGTTGCCGAGAATGCACGCTCCCTCTCTGCCCCTCCCTAGTAGCGGTGGATAACAAGAAAGTCTAATTGTCCAAACTTCCCTCAGGCCCCCCAGAGAACTGCTGAATGGCCCCCGCTTGACCTGACCTGGGGCTGCCCAGGGTCCATGCAAACCAGAGAATCCAGGAAATGGCCTCAAAGTCCCGAGACACAGTCACACACAAGGACACGGGCTGCCTGAGGGCGGCCAGGCACACCTGCTCAGCCCACGAGGCCTCTAAGTACCCCACCCCCCCAGCACTGCTGAGCTGGGGGCTCAAGTTACCCGCGGCTGTGCTGGGTCAGGCCTCAGACAGAGCTTCAAGCGCACAGCCGGCCTCCTGCTCCCCGTCCCAGAGGCCCTGCCCAGTAGAAGCGGGAAGTCCCCTCACCAAGGCAGCCGCCACTACGGCTGGACATGGGGACACTGACCCAGAGGCTTCTGGCGTCAGCAGATGGTCCAGGCTGCTCCCGGGAACCCAAGTACTATGCGGCTCAACAAGCACAGAGGCCCAACAGAGAGCGCCCTTCAGGTGGGGGTGGGGGGGTGACAACCCATGGCCCCTAGTGATCCTCAACCTCTGCTTTACTCTCAGGACCCTGGAGGAGGGATCCAGAGGGAGGCTCTCTTGAGCCTCTGGAAACTTCCGCAGACTCCTACAGACAAATCTGTGCCCGCCAGAGATCACCTTTCTCCCCCATACTAATTACAGTGGACCCACTGGGCAGCTAGGACCCTGCCCTCATCCCTTCCCTCCCCCCACCCCACCCCCACATTCCTCTGACCCCAGGCCCCATGAATCACACGCCCTTCAGGTCAGCCCTATAAGCACCTGCCCTCCACAGAAGGGGGGCAGGGGGACCCTGAGTCTGACAAGCGCCAAGCTCACCCTGGGCCACGAACCTTGACCACCGGCAAGTCAACACACTCAGCCACACAGGCCCCGGCCCAGAGCGGGTGGAGAAACGAGGACCCTCGCCTCCCCACCGCCCAGCGCTCCCAGGCTCCTGGGCAGGCAGCCAGGGCCCCAGGCGTCCCCAGCTCAGGGCACAGCCAGGCTGGACGCGCGGCACCGCCGGGGAGCTGAGGCACGGCGCCCGGTCACAGTCCCAAGACTCCCCAAGGCCCTGCCCGGGCGCGGACAGGTGCGGACACCCGTCCCCGCGCACAGGCCCCCACGGCCCACTGACCCGAAGTCCTGGTCCATGGACTTGAAGAAGAATTTGTAAGCGTGCACGGGCCGGTTGCTGAGCACATTCTTGAAGTCGGCCAGCGTGACGCGCTCGGGCGCCACGGGCAGCTTGACCAGGTACGGCGTCTCCTCCTCGTCCATGTGATAGATGATCTTGGTCTCCGCCATGGCGCGGCGGCGGCGCGGGGCCCGCGCGGCGCTCCCGGCCCGGCCCGGGGCTCGGACGCCGGCGCCTCCCCGCTGCCGGCCTGCGCCCCGCCCG